GAAAAATTAGTATAAAAAAAATAACCAAATGATTAATTAAAACCCAATAAGATACACATGGTCATATATATGATGAACCATTTTCCAGTCTAGGAAAATGATTGATAACTTTTTTATTCAACATATTTATTAACACTTATTGATTCAATTATTAATTAAATTCTACTGTTGAAATTTTTTTTACCTTAAATTTAAATTTAAAAATAATAATTTAAGTATATTATAAAATATATTAAATTAAAATGTATATCAATTATTATCTCACCATCAATACTTCTTTTGCAATTGCAGTGTACTTTTCCACCATACAGTCCATATCCTTTGTACGCGTAATGCTTGCTCTCTAAAGCAATCTTCCATTATATTCATATTGCAGTAATTAAATCTCGCATCTTTTGAACCAAAGAATACAATGGGGGTAAAAAAAGAAAGAGATATAAGCGACAATACAGAGAAGGAAAATAAAGGGGACGTCGCTTCAAAGCAGATGGGTCCTGGATGGTCTAAATTTGCCATGTTCTCTTTTGCATCTATGAATACACAATCTCCAAACGCATTTGTCCTTTTTCTCTAGGAACTGATGGTTTTAGCATTTTATGTTCCAGTTAAATATTAAAATGAGAAAATTAGTATTTAGAATTGTAAAACTGTTTCACACCCGCCCTGCAGCATACTTCAGACTTCCCACACCAAAAAATTCAAACTATTAATTAAAAATTTTGAAGTAAAAGACTCTGAATACTTGAACAAATATGGAAGCAATTCACTTTTATTTGATTAAAACTCTTTTTCGGTTTTTTTTACTTTAACAAAAAATTTCTTTTTTAGTCCCTCTACTTTAACCAAAAAACTTCTTTTTAGTTCTTCTATTTAAGAAAACTCCTTTTTAGTTCCTTAAAATTTATTAACCAGCCCCTTTTTACTCCATTAATTTTTGTATACATAACATGTTAGATAACACAAATTCCCAAATAAATGGACCAAAAAGGTTTTTTTTTTTTTTTTTTTTAGTGGAACCAAAAATGGACTTTTTTAAAGTAGAGGGGCCAAAAAGAGGCTTTTTAGTCCTCTTTAGTCCCTTTATTTTGAAATTCTTATTATGTAACATGTTACGTATGCAAAAAGTAACAGAGAGACTAAAAAGGAGCTGAATAATAAACTTTAAAGATTAAAAAGGAGTTTTTTTAAGTAGAAGAATTAAAAAATGCTTTTGCTAAAGTAGAGGGACCAAAATGAAATTTTAACCCATTAATTTCTAAATGGATTGAAATGTCAATTCAACCTATTTGAGACTGAGATCTAAGAATATCCTACTTAATTTGAGCTTTATTTTTTTTTTTTTACCTTATCAGCCAAACAACCAAAAAAGAAAAAGAAAGAAAAAATGCTAAAATGGTTTGGATGGTCAGGTATCTTTGAGCAAATTTTTGCACATCTTAAGGCTCAAGGCTAATTCTTTTTATAATAAAAAATTTTAAAGGAACACCCTCACACTAGTTTGATGTTTTTTTAAAAAATAATTTTCTTAAGTATTAAATTCAAAATTTGAATTCTAAAATTGTCCTATGTACATGGTAACATACGCATGATTCAATCCTAAGGTCTTATAAGTTAAATCTCTTTTAATGACCAAAAAAAGTTTATAACTAAATTTCAAAATCTTAATATGAGGGTAAGAGTAGAAAATAAAACCTTACTTTTTTTTTTTGTTTAGCAAGGTCCTACCATAAATAATGTAGCAAGCCACAGCTAGAGAATATATAGTTTCCGAGCACTATCATTGCCCTTAGATTATAAAACTTTCAGCACCCAATATATGCAGTATATAGAATTATTGTTCAGTGTGGGGTAAATGATCTTCATTATTGTCAGGTGTCACTCGTATAAATCCCCACGCTCTAGGCCAACTGACGGTTGGGTTAGTGGGGAATATTACTCCTTGAATATTAAATAGTTTTGTACTGTAATTAGCAAAAACGGAAAATTAAGACCTCCTGACATGTCGAGATCTCTTGAAAATCTGAGGACCCGTGTAATTATATACTTTTATTTTTTTTTGGGGTATATTAGATTTTTTTTTATTAGTGGAGTATATTATATGTTAATTATTTGACATGGTAGGGATTTAAACACTTTACCTTTAAATTAAAATTTTTAAGTTATTATGTACCAAAGAGTAGTGTCTTTTTTTTTTTTTTTTT